AGCTCTCCAGTCTTCATGCAAACTGCTGTCCCAGCAATAACCAACAGAAACCAGCAGCATTGGAGACATCAGTGGACTCGCCTAGGTGCAAAGAGACACATGGACTCCTTTTACTCTTTCCAGAAACTGATGCTGTGTCTCAGGCCCTGTCTGTGATACGCTCAGTGTCGTTTGTCACTTTCATCTTTTGTGTTTTAAGAGCTTCTCCACATCTAACTGTAAATGGCAGACGGCGTCTTCTTCTGCTTGCTTATTGAGCTGGTTAAACACCTCTCACCAAGCAGTGGGGAGCTGCATTGTAACTGAGCTTTTCATGGTGAGAGTAGGTGTAAAACTAAACTCACGGTGTGGCAGGCGGCCCATCCATGGTTAAGAATCACTGCCCTGCACCATTTACTGATCACAAAGTTAAATCAATTAAAATAAACATCATCTCTAAACCTGCTACTAACTCTGGTTACTGGGAACTCAGTAGCTCACTATTTTTTTTTTTTGAACTTTTATTGCCAAAAATAACAAGACACATCGACAACATGACCTGAGACCTAATCGGCTGCATATAATGGTGGGGGTTATTCAAAAACTTAATTTAAAAGAAAAAACATATATACATACATACCAATACCTAAGCACAGATGTAACAATGTTAAGGCTTGAGTGTTTCAAGATATTTTATAATTAGTCTCCATTTTTTCTCAAAGGTTGGCACTTTTAGTTGTAGTTGAGCTGTTATCCGTTCCATCGTATAGACATGTCTAGTTTTCAGAAGCCACTGGGCAACTGTGGGTGTTTCTGGTTTGAGCCAGGGAATTGTTATCATTTTTCTTGCAGTCATGAGGAGGAGATGCAGGAGAAAGTGCTGCTCATAGGAGAAACCATCAGGAAAGATATCCAACAAAAAGATCAGAGGATCCATTGGGAGGTTGACTGACAATATGTTTTATATAATGTTCTTGACATCCATCCAGTACTGTTGTATGTAAACACAGTCCCAAAAAATATGCGTCCCCACAGACCCACACCCTCTCCAACATTTATCACTGACACTACTTTTGGATAGAAAGGTTTTCAGCGTAGCTCACTATTAAACAATCATCAGTTTCAGAAATAAAAGACTTGATCTCCACGTTCTGGACAAAGGATACTGATTTTAGAAGGAACTGGTAACTTTGTAAATTTGAAACAAGGTTGTTAAAAAGTTCAAGGAAAGCCTAAGAGGCTAATTGTAGCAAATATTTTCACTATTTCCAATAAAAGACCAGAAACTTTATTAGAGGAAGAAAAAATGGAATTGGCAAATCTTCAAGTTAAATTAGACGACCTGTCAGAAAGTGATGGGATCACCCATCACCAGGACCAGACGGTCTATCTGCAGAGTTTTATCAGGGTTTTGCTGCTGAGCTGGGCCCGCGTTGGGACTGCCCTCTCTCATTCACAAACCCAATAAAGATCGTTTACTTCGAGATAATTGGCGCCTATTTGTCTGCTTCGTAATGATTACAAGACGTTTGCTCTACTTTTAGCAAAGAGGCTGAAAATGGTCCCGAGCTCCCTCACAGATGAACACAATCAGGTTTATGGCTAACAGACATAACCAACAATATCAGATCAGTGCTGGACGTTTCTGTCAACGTTTTGATGACAATGGAGTCGTGTTATTTTTAGATTTTTGTGGAACACCAGTTCAGTCCTTACATAAACTTGGCTTTGGAAGTGACTTCTGTTCATCCACAGAGACTCTACAGAAACGCT